TTTGTTTGTTTGTTTGTTTGTTGGGGTGTTGGGGGGGTGTTTGTTTGTTTGTTTGTTTTCATTTTTCACACCTCTTGTCTACGGTCTTGTTCGGGCAATGTTGTCACTTTGGGTTGGTTCAATCGTGATTTGTTGAGTGTGTAAACATTAAAGTTCCACCAAGACCCACAATAAGTGTTACATTATAATGCCCAAACTGTCCATGTGTTCTTCCGTCTGGTTTCAATGAGTCCACACTGAAAAACTTTGTCAATTAAATGAAAAAAGCCTTAAGTTTAATTTTAAAGACTCACAGAAAACACTGTTCTGAAATTCACTCATATACTAACTAAATTTATTGAAAAATTACAAGTGTGAGATTCTTTTCTGTGACCCCAAAATGAGCAGAACTTTGAGTGCAAGCCAAACTAATTCAGTCTGTGCCACTTTCACCACTGACGCTTATAAATCAGATTTTACAAAAATTGAGTTCCCAACTTTACTTAAGACTTACATTCAACAACGACTTTTTGAAAAGAAAAAGATCAGTGTTAATTGAGAACAAGTAATTTTATAATTTAGATGAAGTTTTTTCATTGCGTTGATTGAATTTCCTTGTTTGTTACTTCACTCGACAAAAATGTCAGCTCTCTGTCTCTTGCTCTAGTCTCATCTCTGCCCTGAAGATGGATATTCTATCGCTCATATCACAACGTCTGTCACGCGATTTGGGTTCAGTGCTTCTGCAGATCTTGCATACACAAATCATGGCTGTTTTTGAGATTTTTCCAATGAAATCTGGGGAAAATAAACTACAAATTAATCATTCAGTTTTGAAAACCACTTTTGCCGATAAATAATATTTCAGACGGTCCCAAGCAATATAGCACAAGGAGTGCAGAAACCTTCTGAATGTGTGACTCACATGTCAAAAGCTGCTCCTTCTTCCAAACTTGGTTTTACCGTTGATCTCTGGATATTCTCTGCTGTGCACACCTCAACCATTATTCTTTGCAAATTTAGCCATTCTGGGGGCAGAATTCAGTTTTTCTTCGAAATCTGACAATAGAAGTACAATAACCCAACCAGCAGTTTTGAAATCTCCGTGTGAAAGTGCACGCCACAAAATTCACAACGCTTGTTATTTACCCCTCCTGAAAATATGCAGATGCAGGACGTGTTTTGGACACGATGTCCTATCCAGTCTTTATAATGGAGATCAACGAGTGTAACCCTGTGCACACACATTTTTCCAGGACTTATGACATACGCCCTCTATTGGCCTCAGTAATCACCAGCCATTTTTAGAAACAGTCAGGCACGACAGCACGGTGTGATGACGTACACGACGCGATGTTCAATGACAGGCAACGCCAACAACACAACATCAAGAAACAAGACCATGCGACGCCACAACATGAGGGACAATGCAACGGAGCTTTTGTAGCGTAGCATCGTGGTGTCGGAGCAATGGGACGATGCGGTGCAATTTTGGCGACTATAAAACGCCATACAGTTTTGACTGGAAGAAAGGGTCACGCGATTTTATGCACACAAGAACAAATAAAGATCGGAGATTACTTGGTGCAACAAGCAAGCTGCAGGAAGTTGAGGTTGATTTTAGATGGATTTTTGAAGATTTAACAAGAACACATGTAAGCGCTTGTTGTTTGACTCCTCCAACAAGGACTTACAAATTGTCCTAATAAGGAAACTTATGGTAGTGGTAAGTCCTACATCCCCCAAAATGTGCCCTAAAGATCTAGGGGGAGTAGGGGAGGAGGTGGGTGAATGAAGGTGCTCGTTTGATAGCTGCAACAAAAGTGTTGCTTGATCCTGTCGCTCACGCCTTCTCCCCAAGATGCCTAATTTGGCCTGCTCCTATTGGTCCACTACCCAGCAACAGGAATAAATGGACCTAGCAACGTCCAATCACACAAAGTCCCAGGAATATGTTGGCAGGATGCCTTCCTGGGCAATGTATAATGTAGCAAAACCCGACAGGGAAATTTCCCATACTAGCAGTAGGCAAGAACTCGTGCCACAGAAAGCCATGCATAATTCATTTGACCATAGATGCGATATAATGAATTGTTGTTTTACTACTGATGACGTTATCATGATGTTATTCTTCAGGTATTTTTGTTGGTGTCCCAGGCTTTGCTTTGTGTAACTTTGATTAAGTCACAAGATTGCCAAGCGGCCAAAAAGGGTTGTCAAAAACATGTAAAAAACATATGGGGAAAATTTAATATTCAAAATTATATTATGAATCACATGATTAATGTCACGATTTGGCATATTTCTTGAGATGATAGTCTATGTGCCAGCTTTGAAGGACTCCACCACAAAGGGAGGGTAAAAGACCTGTGTAGAATTTACCCATTGTTATGTCTTCGGGGAAAGGGGAAAAAAGTGGAAAAACGAAAAGGGGAAAAAAGGCAAAAAAAATCTTACGAGAAACAATAGATGTTTTGGCCGATACCCAAAAGAGCTGATTAGAATCAACCACTACCTGCCGGGTTAATATCTTTTGAGGGGATGTAATGGCGAGACCTTTTCAAGATTTTCCGTTTTAAAACTTCTTTAAAAATTCATGTGTTCATTTACTGGACATTTACACCCAGACAAACGACTCTCTGGTGGCTGGCTACTCTAGTCTGTTGGGCAACCTTAATTGACACCCAAGTATTCAGCCCAGGCCTGCGGCCCTGTAAAAGAGAGCCCAAAATTGTGTGGTGTTGCATAATTTCATTTGTTCCAGTGAATGCCAGTAGCGTCTTTTCGTACACAGCTGGATTAGTGAGCAGCAATGCTGTGTCACTCATCAGTGGGGCCTTGGAGCACTTTTGTCCATGGTGCTAATCCGCGGGCGCACTATGCCCAAAACAGGTGGTATACTGTTTCAAAACAGTGCTGGATTACCTTTGAAAAATGGAAGGCAAAAAATGATCACAATTCCCAGCAGCAGGTCCTTTGTTCAGAGTACAGTCTTTTGTTACACAGAGCAGCTCTTTTGTCCAAAACCAGGCACCCCGGCTCTGTGTATAAACACACGGTGTCCGAAACCGGGCTCCCCGGCAGGAAGTGGTTGACATTTGTTATTTTTTTCAAAAATGTAATTTAGGGGAAATAATCATCTGTATGGGACAAATACTCTTTTTTTCATCCAGTCAATGACAAAGTGAAAACAATTTGGAAATTTAAAATGCAAATAACTAAAGTGATGTGAAGTAAGCACATGGCAAAAATTACAAAAAAAAAGAAAATATTGAAATGCCTAAGATGTACCAACAATGAGATTTACATGTAGTTGTTAGATTCGTTGTCACATCTCAAAAAATCTTGACAGGCAGGTGTTTTCCTCAGTTAAAAGATGAAATCAACCCCATAGCATTACCCACCGATGCACTGTGTACCCATGCTGGATCTTACGACATTAAGAAGCACATTCAAATGAAAACACACTGACTTTTACGGGCAGCTTTATTTCAATCAATTTTAGCTCAAAGGGTTTGAATGTGTTTCTGTTGAAATGTGTAATAGGTAATTCAGTATTTGAGACAAGATTACACTTTATCATTTTGAAAGGTTGGTATATCTGGAGCTGTAACCAACCTGCCTTTGGTTTCCATCATTTAACAAAGCATTAAGGAATCTAATTCAGGTACTAATGCTGTATCAAAAAGTTTTCATGAGTTTCTAGGCATACAATTGCTACATGGACACATATACCATGTAGATAGGAATTGAGTATCATTTTTGTATTCTTGTGTCATCTTATCAGGACAATGGGTGAAAGATTTAATCTTGGCAGTCAAGAGGTAAAGAAAAAAGGCCAAGCAACTTCAGTAACAGCTACTGCAGAGGAACAAGAGCTAGTTTGCGGCGTCACCGCCAACGTTATCAGGTAATATATGTGATCCACCATCCCAAAACCAGGCTGAACCCGATATCTGTGATGTTGGACTATTCCTCTCCTTCAGCCTTTTTTACACTCTATAAAGTGATCCATGTTAAATCAAAGTTCTGTCTGCAGTAAGCTTCTTACAGGTAGTGATAGCTGTAAAAATCTCATGAAAATCTGAACAGCGGAAGTCCACTGTTATATTTGTCCTTGTCGTCAAGACTCACTGTGTATTATTTGTCCCTAGTAATACAGTTTGCACTATCCTTTTAAGAAATGGTAGATTCCTTGATTCATAAAAATGCAAATTAAGCCCAGCCCTAAGGGTATAAAGCCCCCCAGGAACCACTGAAGCATGTCTTTGTTTCTTGTGGTATGGTGTAGCACACACATATTTAGCTGGATCAGCTTTTCTACATGTATCTCCTCTGTACTTCAGCGATGTTAACCACTTCTTAATGGGGGTATTTATAAATGTTGATTCTGCTGGGAAGGATATTTTTCATTTTTTTTCTGTTTTAACAATTTATTTATTGCCGCATAAGTCAGACACAAAATGAATGAAATCTTACACCAGCGCAAGTTTAATTCTGTTGTTATCGTACGGCCAGAGCAGTTTTAATTCCAGATCGATAACCAATAGCATTTTATGTAAGTGATAGTTTAGCATATCCCCGGTCGAAGCGTAAACTGCGAGACAACATTGTAAATAAGCTAAACAAAGCAAGTCCCGGTCGAAGCGTAATCCGCGGACTGTAACTGGCTGCACTTATCAAGTCCCCGGTCGAAGCGTAAGCCGCGAGACAACAGTATAAGACATTTAAACATAGCCGGTCTCCGGTCGAAGCGTAAGCCGCAAGACAAGTCCCCGGTCGAAGCGTGAGCCGCGAGACAACAGTATAAGACAATTAAGCATGGCAAGTCCCCGGTCGAAGCGTAATCCGCGGGAAAACAGTATAAGCCACTTAAAGCATGTTCAGTCTCCGGTCGAAGCGTAAGCCGCGAGACAACAGAATAGATTGTAAATCAATGCAGCAAATAGTCCCCGGTTGAAGCGTAAGCCGCGAGATGTAACATCGTTTATTAAAGCGGTCCAAACCTAACATCGGGTTTAGCAGTAAATACTAGCAAATCATTCCCGGTCGAAGCGTAATCCGCGGAATAGAAATTATTCACGTCCCACCCGTACGTACCCGAATATAGACTACCCATTCCATCTGGGTTATAACTGCAAAGTGAGCCATAAACCTTTTACAGACTTCCTTTTGATTCCATGTATGTAAGAATTCGTTGATTGCATAGGTTTTATATAGCTATATTGATTCATAATCCTAAGGCCCATGACGGTGATAAGAATGAAATTCCCCCACACGGTCATTTATGACCGCCGCCAAATGGGCCGCATGATGATAGGTAAGTGACCTCGCGTGTGTAGGGGGAGGTGGTGTTTGCGCTGGCAGTGTAACAGGAAATCAAGCTACTCCGCAAGACTGGAGTAACGCGGTATGGAAGTTATAAATAAGGAATTCCGAAGCGGCATCCACAAGGTGCACCCCATCTGATAAATATAAATCCTGCCGCCACCACTCAATTTGGGGGTGAGCAATCAACCCAGCCTGGCGCCCTGTGGAAAAGATTGCCCACCGAACGGTTAAGAGCTCGCCAGGTGCACTCGACCGAATTTTGTCGGTTAGCCGAGGCATAGGAGACCCTTGGCAAAATCTCCGACCAGTAAATGATTGAGTGAGGTAATGATGCTCGGGTGATGGCAAGAATTTGTTTAATCCCCTCGAGCATTGATTTCTTGGGGACGTAGCCCAGATCGTTGGAGCCAACGTGTATGGTGATCCATGTTGGCGATGCTTGCTCCGCCAGCCAGCAGCTGTGAAGGAAGTCGTTGAATTGGTCCAGCTGCATGCCCCACCTACCCATCCAGCG